TAGAGATTTGTTTAGGTTTAAAAATAAGTCGGGTTATCAACCTTCTCCTCTAATTTTTGACATCTTCCTCCTCTCTAACTGGTTGAGAATGGTTGATCCGAGATTGGGCTACCGACTTGTGGTGGTTGTTGGAGGTACTCTTAGGCGAAGAATGGTGATTTTAGGAAAGAAATAGTGGTAGGTCGGTGGGTCAACCAGCGAGTAAATTCGGGTATGTTAAGAGAGGATTTTTTATTTTTCTAATTTTTTGGTTTTTTTTATTCGTGGTTTCCTCCCCATTTTGCTTTTTTCTTTTTCAATAGTATTTATACCCCGAACGTAATTAGTTCTAACCTATACTAGGAGTTACTTAGCCTCTAAGTTGGATTAGGCCATCCTAAAATGAGATTAGGCCTAATTGAATTGATTTAGGATAATCTCAATATTAAATTCATAATCCTCATAGTTTTGCTTTTCTTCTTCTTTTTTTCCTTTCACTCATTTTCTTCTTCTTCTTCTTTTTCCTTTGTTTATTTTCTCTCTTTTTGTTTTTGTTAATTTTTCTAAACTTTCAAAAATCATGGGATTTCTATTAAACACAACACATTTAATTAATTATTTTTTTTATATTTTCATCATTTTTTAAAAGAAATAACACAACACACAAATGGTTCTGGTGAATGTTATCCGCTCTTGGGCCAAGGCTGCTGAAGGACTTTTGGGTCGAAACTGATCTATCTTGTTTGAGCTAAAGACATGATACTACTGATTGAATAAAGTTGCTGGCTGAATCAATTATGCAACTTCATGGCTGGTGCTTCAGTTTTTGGACCTTAATTATGTTCCTAGTTTTCTAAGTCAATTATCAAGTTTGAAGAGACTAAACTTAATTCTAATATCATTGTTTTGTTGGATCTTATGCTGAGCATTTAGTCCTTGATTGTTTTGGATTCCAGCAGTAGCATTATTCTTATTTTGTAAAAAAAAATTTGATATTAGTATAGACTTGTTAATCTCTTTCTATCTATTTTAGAATGTGATGTTCAATACCATTCTTCAAAATCGATTTAGCTTTCCTTGGATTCGAATCATCTAGTTCATGGGTTCTCTAGCCATCGAATTAAACGGGTTTACATCAGATTCTTTGACAAAGAGGCATTCCTTTTATGCTTTGGGAAAAAATAAAGAGCAATATGTTCATCAGTTAATGGTGTTATCTAAAACGTCGGTGGCCATGCATCAAACTTTGATAAGATATCTATGTGCAGAAGTTGTGGCAGAATACTTGTTGTATTCCGTGCTCTTAAGCATGCTTTAGTTGATAAGTGACTCAAAAGTTCAACAGAGGTTGATTTTTCTCATGTCAGATCCTCGAGCATTTAAAAAAAAAAACATAAAATTCTTTCAACCCAGGTACTATTATGGAAAAAGCAATCTGATGCTAATGCATAAAGCAACCAAAGAGATACTTACTTCCAAATTGGATTAACAATTGGCTGAGCCCATACATATTCATTTTACTTTAAAAATGGTAACCTATGAGGCTCACTAGATGGAAGAGCAGAAACACCAAGAGCTTGTTGACGAGGATCAACTACAGAACCTCTAGCAAATTCACCCTCTCTATCAAAGTTTTCTTCCTCGTCAAGGACTAACTTCCTCTTTCATTTTCTTTGCTCTTCATTACCAAAAATTTAAAAAGAAGAGGACTGTATTTTTGTCTTCGGTTGCAAGCAAGAAGCATCACTTATAGGCTGATTTGCTTTAGTTAGCCTCTATGTATGAGCATATGAGTGGCCTCTATTTGAATTGGTCTGCTTTCGCATCTTTATCCGATCAATTTATCTTAATTTTTGTTGCTTCTCGTATGCGTTCACTTTTTTTTTATTATTGAACTTGAATAGGCTCAAAATCTCTACATTTGCAGTCCTCACAAGTCCAAATGACCTTTTTAACATGTCTTCTCGGCAGTATGTGTAATATCCAAAAATTTTGCATGATAATATATGGTGTGTATATGTTTAAACTAACATATTTAAAGATAAATAATATTAAATTATGAACTTAATTTTAAGAAAAATAAAGATATAAGTTTTAGTAACAATCTGTTCGATCGTTACCCTTCGGATGAGATGTCTCGATTAACGAGCGTTACACTATGTGCATACAAAACCTGGAAAAACATACATATAAACTACTTGGAGTTAGCCGCCTCGGATCCTGTTAATCCAATCCATCCTAAAATAGGCACAGCCCTAGTGCAAACTGCTAGTACCACATGAAGCATCGGGTGAGGCTATCTAAGGGTAGCCAAACTTGGGTTATCACTAACACAATTCTTAGCATCTTATCTACGCCCTTCGATTGTAAAAAGCATCATTGGTTATAACCAAATAAAACAGAACTGAATCATCAATCGACATACCTATACTCTGCCAATACCAAACACTTGTTGCAGCATACAAGATGCTTCACCTCCACCCTTACACCACACTTATGACAGATGGCCTTCTAGAACAAAGAGTCAAAAAATTGTGACCAGATTGTAAATAAGAAAGCCATATGCTCATACAAATATACCATTTTGAAAAAGACACTAAAAAAAAAAACTGTTTTCCTTCTTTTTCACGAGTTCAATTATGTGTTAAACATGGAAAAACAAGTGATAGAATGAGCATATGTTAGGAAGCATAAACCAAGCAAACAACTACTTCATAATTGTCCAGTATTCACAATTTCACAAAATCTTAGGCACATTTTCTTTTCTTTCCTTTTTTTTTTTTTTTTTTTTTTGGTCAACTTCATTCTTGTGCTAGTACACATCCACCTTAACATATGCATCTCTGCTACTATCATCTTTCGTGTATGTTGTTGCCAGAGACAAGGATTGTATAAATTAAAATAATATTTGCTACAACGATATAATTTACTAATAGTGTGTTAGGCTAGTAAGACTTTTGGAATGGTGAAATTTGTTTTGTTAAAGTGCGGTTGTGAGTACGTTTGCATTGAATTTATTAAACAATAAACATATTATGCATATTTTTCATGCCAAAATAAATATACAAAAAAAAATTATAGAGTTTTAATTGAAAAACCACGTCTAAAAGTTAAAAGCCAAAAAGCTCTAAAATGTTTATACGTTTTTGTATAGGAAATGATTGACATTGTGAATGTATATATCCGAAAATTGAGGTTGGATATGACCCTTAAGCATAAATCCAAGAATATTTGGATAAATTAGTCTTGAGATAGAAACAAGGACTCATTAGAGCTTTCACTAAATACTAGGGTATTGTTAAGAATGGTTAAAAAAAAAAGTGGATGCGAGCATGGATTTAAGAACCAAAATCAGAAAAGAAAGATTGCTTTAAAATTAGGTGCAATTTATGATTATTCTTGGTAAAAATCTGCTTCAAAAAGAGCAAAACTCATTTGATTAATTAATATTGAAAGTGGACAATGTAGAAGCTAATTTGACTCCATTTGTCATAACTCTAAATTTGTCTCTCTTAATTATTTTATAATTTTATGATATTTTATTTTAATTTTATAGTGTAGGTTGAATTTTTTGTTTTATTTATTATTACCATTTAGTTTTGTTTTATCATTAAGGTTCAACAACATGTATCATTCTAAAATAAAAAATTGAAAATGAAATGAAAAAACCAAAAAAAAAAAAAAAGAAGAAGAAAGAAAACATTAAAAAAAAAATTACATTAATTTTCCTTTTTTTTACTACAATACCATAAATATGAAAATACAAAAAAAAAAATAAATAAATAAATAAAAGAAAAGAAAAATACAATCAAGGGTTCAATTAAAGAAAAATACAATCAAGGGTTCAATTGAACAGAATTAAAAAACAGAAACCAAAATCAAGAAACACAGGAGTGTAATTGTAAAAAAGAAAAAGATGATGGATCAAATTGAAACTTTGGAAACGGCGCCGTTCTTCAGCAATTTCGCGCCTGGTGTCTTTGGGCGGTTCTCTGATTTTGTCTCAACCAAGCTGTGTTTTGTCCTCCCTCTCCAGTTGGCCTTGTGCTAGTCTCATCTCCTTAGCACCTAGACAAACGAAAAAAAACACACAACACTCACCTGCTGTCCTCTCCCCTCTGTCTCGCCTTCAAACTCGCTGAACACAAAACAAAAATGAAAAAGCGTTAGATGGCCCTAGGAAACAAAATGGGAGCGGTCCTTGGTACATAGACAATGAACAGTGAGGATTTGAGGAGAGCACCGGATGGACATTATCAAAGATGAAAATTGAATATAAAGGGTAGAGGCAGTAGCTGAGGAGAGGGAGAGGGGAGCTCATTTTGGGTAGTTTGAGGGTTTTGAGAGGAAAGCTATCAAAAACACTGGAAGAGGGTGGGAATCAACGAACTTGGCTGGTTTTGTGGTCTGAGAAAAAACAAAAGTTGTTCTGGCTTTCTGGGTTTAAAAAGAAGTTCAAAACTGGGGAAGAGAGTGAAAGAAAAATAGAGAATATCAAATCACGTTATCACCTTAAACGAGTTCATCGAAGGATTTCCAGGAGGTGCTACTATTTGTGTCACACCATCACACTGCCATCCTACTCAGGTATTGATTCTCTGTTTTTGTTTACATTCAAGATCAAACCGCAATAAGAGGACAGTAACAACTTGAGAGTTCGCTTTCTTAATTCTCTTTTGTATTTCTCTCCGTGTTTTGATTGTCTTAGGGTGCTGTTTAGTTCTAGTATCAGAATAATTTCTTTGATAAAATGATCAAGTTTGCATGCTCTGTGCTTTGTTTCTTTCAGTTTTCATTAATTTCTTCTCTTCTGAGATGGATGGAACAAAATATTGGAGTCCTTTCTTCAGTCTTCCTATAAGTCTAGTATAGGGAGTTTCCATTTTAATTTGTTACAAAGATTCACCATAGCAGCATGGGTTTGGAGCGAAACCTGCAAAATAAATATGTTAGTTGGGAATGAGATTTTGATTGAAGTAAGGTTAGGATGCATGAGCTCTGGTTTACCATAAATGGAACAGATTTTAGCAGTGAAGTATATGTGTCAGTTTCTCAAGAGGAAGAAGAAATGGGTGACCCGGGCTGGAAGGAGGAACAAATAGCATTGGGTGAGGTTAGTGTTTTGGTTGGGCGAGGGTTTACAAAGCCAGGAAAACAAAGGCCTAGGAAGGCCTGTGGCCCAAAACGTGGATAGGCTCATCTATAGTGAGAACAGGCCCAGGCCCGCAGTCCATTTACTGTTGATAGGGCCATTTAGTGCTGACAGTGGGTCTTTTCTTCATTCTGGATTGCACGACAGTGGGCTTTACTTCGAGGCTGGGTTTCATTTGGGCCAAGGGCTGGAACATTAGGCCTCCAAATAACTAGATTTTTAACTTGAGGAGTTATTTTCAGATTTTAATTATTTTGACTTGAATTTTTTATATGAGTGTTAAATATGCTTATCCTTAGTTTTTTTTTTTAAATTTCATAATTTTTGAAGTATATTTATTATTTATTTAGAATTTATTTAATATTCTATCTAATTTTTAGTTGTTTTGTTGTTTGTCTTGGGAACTTGATTATTTAGCTCTCTGCTTGATTTTATTTTAATCTAAAATTTTTAAAATATATTTTTATACTTGTATATAGGTTGTGTGTCAAATTTCTTTATTTAGTGAGTTTATCTTCTATTTAATTAGTATTTATTATTGTTTTATCATTCATCTTAATTATTAATGTGTTTTATTTTAAAAGATGATTTTTTTAAAAAAATTCCAGCACCTTTACTATTTTGATATGAAATTCCTAGGATTTGTACATATATTTTTCCATGTCTTGTGTATCAATTTTCATAATTTTTAGAATTCATTTGCTATTTGCTTGTAATTTATTATAAATTATGCTACTATTGGAATTCTTAATGTAATGATGGATCCTCAAGTTGTCTAGATTCTAAGAACTAATGAAGATCCTTTATCAAATTCATCATACTAAAAAAAATGCCAACTTAGGATAATTAACGAATTTAAGTCAATTTAACGAGTCTCATAGTTAACGGTGATGAACTTTATCCTCGAAACTAAAAAAAATAAATAAATAAAAGAAAACCAAAAAGTAAATTAAGAAAAATCAATCAGATATCATTAGTAATTATGTCATTTTTCAACATGTCGTGCATATCAAAGCTTAATTGAATTTGATGTTAAATTGACGAGACTTTCAACTTTGGGGCCGGATGCCAATTTAATACGATGCCATAATAAAATTAAAATAAAAAATAATTTGACTTAGACAAGTAGATAAATTGGGAAATAAATTTAGGAACTAACTTGGCAAAATAAATTCTTAGGAGATACATTTTTAGGATTAAACTAGACATGATACATTTTCTTGAAAAGAGTATTTTTGGGTGATTGATATCTTCTCAAATACATAACTAACTCTTTACATACAATCTTTGAATTTAGTATCTTTTTATGTTTTCTAGTTTCTTTTAATACTAGGTGGTGATTTCAAAGCATTTGTTAACTCATCTCCCCAAAAACAAACAACAAATAAAAAATCTAATTTTTTTTTAATTTTTTGAAAATTTCCTAAATATTGGATAGCAACACTATTCACAAGTAGATCATACTTTCATGCAAGAAATATAAAGTTGTATTGAGAGGGGCACGACCAATGAAAATAGGTTGGTAGTATAACAATTAACAAGCGTGGATGAGAAGAATATAGATTTTCAAAATGCAATAATGAATGAAATAGTTATTTGACAAAAAAAAAAAAAAGGAAAGTTGTTACAGAAAAGGCTAGGGAAAAAGAGTTCTTGTAACATTGATTCATAAACAAATTTCTTGGGTTCCTATTTTATTTGGAATTATTGTACTACAAGAACATTAACTTTTAATATATTTTTTTTCAATTGAATATATGAATTTATTTTATTTTTTTAGTACATTAATTTTTTTCAAAACTACTAATAAACTATTTTTCGTCCGACTTCTATCAATTGTTTCATCATTTGATGATGTATCCTTCATTTTATACTTTTAAATTATAATTTTGACATTTTATTCTAGAAGAAAACTTTCCGTTTCACATTATTTTACTCTTCTACTTTTGGTTATAAGGAAAATTTAAGTATTTATTATATAAAAAGTAGAAAAGGGAAAAGTAATTTGAGAGTAAACTTCTTTAAGAATAAAAGAGCAAAATTATAGTTTAGTAGTTTAGAGCAAAAGACACATCACATGAAATGATAGAGAATGACGAAGTTAGATGAAAAATACTTGATTGATAATTTTTAAAAAGCCAATGTATTTAAATGAAAAATAATTAAAATTTGCTTACTCAATTGAAAGAACATCAAAACTTAGTATCCCTATAATTCAATTATCCTCGTTGTATCTAGTTTGCTTATGAATTAAAGTTTCAAGAGCTCTTTTTCACTAACTTTATTTGTAACAACTTTTTTTCTCTTTTAGATAATTCTACCTCATCCTTTCATTGCAAAATTCTTTATTCTTCTCCTTCACATCTTTATGTATGCTTATTACACTAACATGCCTCTCCTAATATAATTTTTTTTTTTTTATGATAAGTAATATATTTGAATGACAAATGTCATTTCACAAGACCTATAAGTTTCTACAATCAACAACGCATGTACACACATGATTTGGTTTAATGACAAACCTAGACAAAAGATTTGGTGATAGAACCATGCCTTACACATACATGAACGAAAGCATATGTACCACTAGGAAACACTAAATGAGAGAAACAAAAGCATTTATAGCACTAGGGAGAGAAATCCAATCAGTTACAACCTAGAGAATTAAACCAATCTCGTAAAAGAAAAATAGTATATATTAAATGGAGTCACACTTCTAAAGCTATTTTTATAATGATGCCATCATGCTCTTTCAACAGTAACATATCAATATTAAAAACACTTATCTTCCAATTAGTATTAGAAGTTATTGGCAATAAAAAAAAAAATTAGACTATTCTACCTATTTTTTCATGCAACTTGAAGTGTCTCTTAACTATATAAAGAGCCAAAAAAGACCTAAAGTTAAGGGTGCTGAATATCTTATCTCATTACTATTGTTCATCTTTTTGCTCACACTTACATCATATGTTTCTCTAGCCAATCTTCTTCTCATGACATTAACTTGATTGTCGGAGGGTCATCTACTCAACCAAAAAAACTTTCTCTAACCAATCTCCTTATAATGACATTAACTTGATTGTCGAAGGGTCATCTATCCAACTAAAAGAACTCCTTTTATAGGTATTTCATCCAAAATAACCTCCATTCATCAATACCTCCATCTTATTAAAACCAATAAGTAACCACATCATCTTTAAAAATTCAACAATTTCATCAATAAGAATATGACTAGCTCTAGTATTGTACATCTTTAGTGAGATTTGCTGATTATAAACCATTTTTTTAGACTAATCATAAATTGCACCAAACTTTAAAGCAATATGATTTTCTTATTTTGGTTCCTAAATACATGCGTTCATCCACCTTTTTGAGCCAATTTTAAGACTTTCCTAGCACATATGTAAGATCTAATAAATACCTTTTCCTCACTTCTATTCCAAAAACTATCCAACTTTATTTAATTATATTCAAAGGTCATGTCCACACTATGCAAAATATATGTTTATAATGTCAATCGAACACAAAAACAAACTTTGTCAATATTAATCTAGCAAATATTCTTTTAATTCATAAATCCTTGTCTTTGGGATCTCATCTCTACTTCTACTAACCTAGTATATCAAAGTTTAAACCTTTCATTCTTTATCTTTCTCCGTGTTCATTTATCTACAAAGCCTAAAAGTTTAAATTCTAAATTATTAATAGCTATCATATCCCCATAATTTCCTTCAACCATAATCTTGATTCCTTGTCTTTCATCGCTTTTCACCCATCTACAAAGCCTAAAATTTTAAAATCCTATAACCCCAATATCTCCATCATCCATGGACAAACTTGATTCAAGGCTTGGTGCTACAAACTCCTTATTTTTAGAACTTGAGTTATATGCGCACAAAGGCCATGTCCACCACTCAAGGCATAAGCCACTCCTAACTCCATCACACATAAAAGTTCAAAATTTCTATACCATTAATACCTCAACTAGCTAGCCTAATAAACCGCATTGAAGTGTACTATCAATATGATACAAAAGCTTAAGCTACAAATTAATTGTAGAAATTAATCTTGTGCTGATTATATACTCAAAACAAACCCAACATTGCCCTTAGATCACATAAGAATTTCAAGAAAATATCATTGACTTGCAACAAAATAAACCTAATATGACAATAGTAAAGTGTTTAAATACACACATGGATACCTACATCAACTAAACTAAAGTCTTGAAGGCTTTGAATTAGCAAGAGCAACAAAAGAGAAAACATTCATATAGGTGTTGGGTTCTATATATACTAAACAAATATACATACATACATATGTATGTGTGTGTGTGTATATATATATATGATACAAAAACTTAAGCGACAAATTAATTGCAGAAATTAATCTTGTGCTGATTATATACTCAAAATAAACCCAACATTGCCCTTAGATCACATAAGAATTTTAAGAAAATATCATTGACTTGCTACAAAATAAACCTAATATGACAATAGTAAAGTGTTTAAATACACACATAGATACCTACATCAACTAAACTAAAGTCTTCAAGGCTTTGAATTAGCAAGAGCATCAAAAGAGAAAATATTCATATAGGTGTTGGGTTCTATAAATACTAAACAAATACATACATATACATATATATACATACATACATGTACATATACATGTATGTAGATGTACATATATATACATGTATATATAGACACACACCATACAAACATGTAAACATGAACATACAGTTCATGCAACCAGCAAAAATAATCTCAAAACAAGTAAAAAAATTCACAATTAAAAAAAAAAAAAAAAAAAGAACGGGGAGAATTTTGAAAAATGCATGTAAAGAATAACTAGAGAAAATATGGCGAAAGATAACATTCAAAAACTATACCTTTAGGATAAAAAAGAACGTTTATAATGATACAATGCAAACCCTACGCCCCTATTTATACTAGTTTAGATGCACCAACCCTAGCCCAAATAGGAAAACTAAAGCCTTCATATAAAAAAAAATATAACCTTCTCTCATATGGAAAGAC